CTCCCCAAAACCCCAAAACCCCGTTCATCAAATTGAGAATAAGATCCCAGTAGAATGTTTTTTAATTAAACTTTATCTATATAATTTTATTTCAATTCAGCTAATATTCAAAAGTTAAATTAATTGCATTTGAAAAATGAATGAAGATCTAGAGGATTAAGTATACCAACCTGCTTCCAGTGATAATAACTTTAAAGCAATGAACCATCACACCTTTTAAAATTCGAATAAAACATCCTCTAACTACTGGATATCAGAATCACTTTCGATAAATGAGAACCAATCCTCATCAAAATAGTCTAATTTGATTAAGTAATTGAGACAAAAATAATTCAATAAAAAGGGTAAGAGTAAAAAGCAAAAAAAGAAAATGTCAATTGTCAATATCAAAAGCAACTTAAATTAGAATTCTTAAGGTTAATTATAAGCCACAGTAATAACGGACTATTCAAATATAATGGAAATGACAAATGAAAATCTTCTAACTAATAACAACATAAGCAATATTGAGGGGAACAACAGCAATAACATTTTTAGCAATGACATTTATAACATGACAGTAAATAACATTTTTGGATAAGCCACAACAACAGTTGTCAATGGAAGATAGTAAAAATATCTTGAAAAACTTGAAATCAATGAATAGGAGGTAAAGAGTAAATCCCCACAGATTGTGACTCAAAGAATGTTTATGTATAATAAATACCTAATGGATGGAGAAAAATTTGAAGAAGATGACATAGAGAGTTAGAATTAAAAATCTTTATCAATTAGGAATAGAATGAAATATAGCCAAATGAAAAACCAAATTCAAACATAAGAATATGAGTAAAACTTCTAGAGTAAGAGGAAAGAGTCTCCGCTTTAGAGGAAAACTGAAATGATTGAGATCATGAAATAGAGCTACATAGATTTTAGGAAGGAATTCAAAAGAGAGACAGAAAATGTTCTATAGAAAAATAGGACAATGACATTAGGAGGATAGAGAAAAAGACCAAAACCACTTAATATTATTGAGAAATCTTTTAATCGAAAGGTATTGCACTAATTGATGAGCTCTGAAGTGAGTCCTTATGATGGAGTAAGTCCTAAAAAAAAGATTAGAAGAAAACAAGTAAAGTGCTTTTTGCTTGAAGCTCTATTAAAATGCTTAAGGAAAAGACAAAGATAGAAATGAAAAATTTTTATAGCCAAGTAGAAATTAAAGAAAATATAAAAGAGATAAAGAATACAATATTTATGGTCTAAACTTAGGTAGCATGTAATGTAGGAACGCTTTCTAGATCAATTATCAGATACTAGGTAATAGCATATTCTACAAGGATCCATTAGGCTCAAATCCTATAAGTATCAATATGAATCAGATGAAGAGTAAGGATGCTCTTGTCATATCCATGAGAATCACACTTTAATTAAGAAATTTGAGTTCTTAGTGTGCTTTTCTACTTTAGTATCTTACTTTATAACTCCAGTGAATATTGGATTTTAGTTTGTTGGATACGACGATTTAAGTGCTCTTGATCTAATTATAGATGTTACCCTCATTATCGACATTTTACTTAGATTCTTTGTTACTAAAGACATTACAAAGCGAATTGCTGTTATTATTTTCAATAACACAAAGAATTATGTATGATCTCATTTTATAACAGATCTTTTACCCGTGTTATTTACGTTAATGTACTGGGGAATGATTACAGAGAAGAGCAAAATAATATATTACCTTAAAATTTTAAGAATATTTAGAATAAAACGGATATTTGATTTATTTGATCATCTGAACAGCTTTGTGCTATATATCAATATCATTAACCAGTTTTATAAGGTTCGATATCTTAAGATGGCAAAATTAGTAAAGATTGGTGTTTTATACTATTTAATATTTCATTGTTTAGCTTTGATATGGATATTTCTTGAAAGAGATTAAATTGGTGAACCAATCAAAGATGGCTGGCTTGAATACTATTATCCAAATGGAATCAATTACGATAATTATCACAGAATATATAGGAAAAGTTTTTACTTTATTGTAGCTACATTTACAACTGTAGGTTATGGCGATATTTATGGGACAAATAATAGAGAAATGCTTTTTACCGTTTGTCTAATCTTAATTGTTCAACTTCTATTCTCATTTTTCCTTTAAGCTTTCAACGTTTAGCTTTTATCAGAAGACTCTTCTCAGCACTCAATTCCTGTATTCAAATAAGAAAAAAAAGAAATGGTTGAACTTCTTCTTATGAAGATTAGCAAAACAAAAGGATCAAAGCCAATTAAATGAGATGAGTTAAAATTTGCGATGACATATGTCGATGGTTTTATAAAATATGATAACCGTCAAATAAGTAGATAATAAATATTCAAGGATCTTAGTTATTAATGTAAGAAGAAATTGATATTTCAATTGTTTAGCTAATGTATTAGCAATTTCTCATACTTCTTTGAAGATATAGACTCAAACTATTAAGCAAGTGAGTTATTTATCTATGGAATAATAAAAAATATGAAGTTTGAATTATATAATCCTGATGATATCATATTAAGCTATGGATAAAGCTTCAATAGTATCTATTTTATTGTAAATGGTGGTGTCTAGATATATGATAAGTACAATACTTATCTGAATTGCTATGAGGGCAAAGGATATTTTGGTGATTTTCAGATAATTTATAATCTAAAATCCTAATTCAATTATAGATCGCTAAAAACAAAAACTAGCTAATACTTGAGCGTTAAATCGAGAAAATTCCTAAAGTATCTGCACAGAGATCAAGATGCCCTTGATTATTTGACAAATTTAGCTCAGATACGAAGAAAATACTTAAGATAAATTGCAAGGGAAAGCTAGATTATCAAAAATAGACGAATGACTAGTGAGAGAAATTTACTTAAGATAAAGTCATTCAAAAAATAATAAAGCAGATTAATCAAAAAGCATAGCTAGAAAATATCTTTGTAGTTATTGTTAAGAAATCTACCTACTATGTTAAGAGAGAGAAAAATTCCCAAATTCCATAATACAGAAGAGAATAATTTAACTAAAATTGAAGAAGAAAATAAGCAAAACGAAGAATCAAAAATATCAATGACTACTGAGTCATTAAAATCAGAGGATAGCTTTAGTGATAATGAAATATCTGATGATGAAAAAACAGAGGATATTCTGAATTTATAATACAAGAAGATTTTTGGGCTAATCAATTATACTAGTGATATTTTAGAATAATACCAAGAAAAAGTAAAAAAGGCTGATCTTGCTTTTGAAAAAATGAAAGAAGCATTTAAAAACATATAGCTTTTGACATTTGAATTACTTCACCCAGATTATTTCGTAAAAGGTTATCAAAACTTGAAGTTTTGTAATGGATCATGTATATAACTATAAAATTCTCAAGAATATCTGAAAATCAATCCACTAATCTTAGAAGAATTAAAATCAAACTTAAATGAAGTTATATAAAAATCACTTGAAAGTTTTGGACTGCAGAGTATATAGGATATTGATTAGTAAGCAATTAAAATGTAGCCAAACAATAAAAATGAAAATATAGTCATTAGTGAAAACCAATTTTAGGAGGGCTAGTAGGTTACTCTAATGCCATTTAAACTGCATATTCATGAAATAAAACCTATTGAAAATAAAATATAAGCCAAAAAGAACTCAGGAAAGAAATAATTTAGTCTTAAAGAAATCCTGGGAAGCTTCAATTAGGAAGAATCTATAATTAAATTATGAAAAAATAGCTATTTAAAAAGTAACTGATGTACAAAATCCATAAAGATTAATAAAGTAAAATTTGAGAATTAACTATTAATTAGACAGAACAAATATGAAAATAATGTTCAAAATTTAATATGTCAATTTAATTATTCATATACTTAAAAATTTAATATAATCGCATTTATGGGGTTTTGGGGTTTTGGGGTTTTGGGG